TATTTTTGTATTTATTTGGCTTTAATTTACAATTAAAATATATTGTTATCATTGAGGTGATCATTATCGTTGAGGTGATAGGCCCGTGCGGAGCACGGGCAATTTCATTGAAATTCTGCTACAGCAGCCGTTGGGCCCGAGTACGTTACTAGGAAAATATTTTTGTAAAAATGAATCTGGCACCACAAGCAAGCGCAACATTGTTCTGCATTGTCTCTGCCCTAGCCGATGATACAAGACCTATCTGTGTTCTGGAAAATGATCTATGTGGTTATCGTTGATGTACCCAATGGATCCACGGACGCCGCTTCGATTTCTGTGTACTTAGCTTTCAACCCCTCTGTCGCTCGTTCACCAAGCGCGATCAAGTTTTTGGCTCCGAGCATCTGCAAAATGGTAATCTCTGTACCAAATATTGTTCTCCACCAGCTTCGCATCTCTATAGACACTAGACTGTCCAAGCCAACATCTAGTAGCGAACGAGAGGTGTCGATCTTACTATCATCCTCGTCCCCAAGTGGCCGAAGAAGCATAATCGCGATCTTTTTCGCAATTTGTCGCGCAAGGAACGTAGCGGTATCTGATTGAGTAAGAATCATTGGCTCAGCGATGACTTGATTGATAAAATATTTGATGGCACGAGTGGGAGAGTCTTCTCCAGATTCCGACGCTGAAGAAGCACGAGAAGAATCGAAGTTCGTGTAGTATGCCATGCGCTGGTCACCCTTCCACATTACGCGGTTTGAAGGGTCAGTCAACGACGTTCGGCTTCTGACACCGATGCTCATTGAAGATCTACACGTTCGCGATGTCCCATCTACAGACCTAGTGGCGGGAGTAATGAGAGCCAGCGTGATCGCGTCCAGTAGTTGTGGTATGCGAATACCGAAGCCTCCTTGCAATCGTGTGCGCTCCAATATCAATGGATTTTCTGCGATATATCCATGGTCGTACATTAGCCCAATGTCGATGGTCGAAGCATTGAGGCCGAGAGAATTCCGGAACTGTGCGAATGAATTGAGAAAAGTGTTTGCCGCCGCGTAATTGGCTTGACCAGGGCCACCGAAGAGACCTGAGATCGAGCTAAAGAGAAGGAAGAAGTCGAGAGTTATGCCTCTTGAGAGGCACACGTTGTGCAAGTTCCATGTGCCATTAAGTTTCGAATCGTTAGCTGCGCTCCATGCGGCATGTGTCATATGATGAAACCCCATGTCTTGTAACTCCATGGAGAGATTCATTATCCCACGCACAGGGGCGGTCGCAGCTGCAACAGCCTTCTCCACGTCTCTTGTGTTGGCGACGTTTCCTTTTACTGCCGTGATTTTGCTTCCTTGAATTTCGAGTTCTTTGAAGAATGCCTTATCCGTTTCTCTTTCCCCAGCAGATCGAGAAAGGAAGATCAGGTGCCTCGCTCCATTCTCAACCAGCCAATTTGCGACGATACGACCAAGGCCACCAAGTCCACCAGCAAGCAGATAACCTGCCTCTGGGTTAAACGCAACCTTTCGCTTAGGATGTATCGTAACCAAGTTTGGTGAATCGGTTGGCTGACCGCCTGTGTTTCCCACAGAAAGGACGACTTTGCCCATATGCCTGCCCTGCTGCATATATCTGAAGCATTGCTCGACCTCGGACATTTGAAAAATCTTCATAGGAGAGATGGGCTTGATGTGACCTTCCTCATAAAACTCAATCATCCTCTTCAAGAGCCTTCGCCGCTCAGTCGGTCGACTATCGCAAAGATGAGCGAGATCGACTCCGTGATAGCTTCTGTTTTCAACAAAAGGATTCAAAGACAAGCGGCCGTTTCCTAGTAAATCTCGTTTCCCAATTTCGATCATCTTTCCGAACTCCGCCACGCATTCCCAAGACGCGTGAAGAAGTTCACCGGAGAGCGAATTGAGCACGATATCCACCCCTGTGCCATTTGTGGCATGCATAACATCTGCCACGAAGGATCGGCTGCGAGAGTCGAAGATACGGTGCCGTGGTATGCCCATCTCATTCTCGAGGTACTTGGTCTTCTCTTCTGTGCTGACTGTGCAATATATCGTGGTGCCAATCATCCGGCACAACTGGATAGCGGCAAGACCAACGCCGCCACATGCTGAGTGCACCAGAACGGTTTGCCCATTGCGCATTTGACCAACTTCGAGTAGTCCATAGATGCATGTAAGGAGTACACAAGCCATGGTGGCAGCTTCCTGGAAGGAGAGAGAGCTCGGAAACGTCCAACAGTTGATGCTAGGTACGAGGGCCTCTGTCGTGAACAAACTTGCCCCACCCATGACTATAACTCTGTCGCCAATCTTTAGATCTTCTACTGCTGATCCAACAGCTCGGATCACTCCTGCAGCTTCCAACCCAATCTCTTGATTTGGAAGTTCGATGAGGTCCATAGCGATCAGCACATCCTAAAACAATCAGTCTTTGTCAGCTGAGTTCAAATCACTACGTCTAAGAATGATTGCTATAATCTCACCCTGAAGTTGAGTCCAGTGGCCATGATTTCGACCACAACTTGATTATCTCCAGGCTCTACAGAGGGACGCGCGGCCCATTGAAGTGTATCAAGCCTGCCAGCCGTCCCGATCGTTAGATCCAGTTGGGTATTCTCTGTGATCGGTGTACAGGTCACCTGCTTGCACAGCGCCGAATTGATGTCCAAAGGATAAATGCGTGGCACGTATACTCTGCCATGCTCAACCGAATATTCAAGCTCCAGGTCTCGTCCCAGTAAATGCCGACGGGAAAACTTTTGGGCAATTTGTGCAACAGCCTTCCAACTGGAATCGTTTAACCGGTCAATCTCGCATATCGCTATGTCAGTCTCCACGTCCTTTCGAATGGTGCGCATGGCTCCAGGCGTCTGGCCCCAGCGGGGATGATCGCAGCTAAGCTGGGAGCTGCGAGTTAACCAAAGAATACCATCCCTGGATTCCGAGATTCGAACCAGAACGTGGCGCAACTTATCAAAATTGGCGGCTTCAATTCCCATGAAGAATGGCTTGCTGACATCAAGCAGACATATGATGTCTTGTTTTGGTAGTTTTGCTAGCGTGTCCCAATGTTGGAGCGCTGTGTCGAATATGCCGTTTTGAGATAATTCGATTTCCAGAACTCTGGCTGCATGTTCGGTGCTGTCATCAAAAAGTAGCGTGATTGGTTTGGGTATGACGTCTTGAACCCTAGGGTGGGATATCATATACGCGTGGGTCTGGTATGGTCGAGGGGCATCCAACATGTGATCGACTACCCCTGCGAAACCCGCGTTTCGGAGCTCGCGGTCCCACCTCTCGGGTTGCACATAAGGTTCATCAAGACGCCCATCAGCCTCACCTAGCCACCATCCAGGAAGGATACCCATGGTGAGGTTGATACCTTTCACATCAGTGCAAAGCTCCTCAAGGTAAAACGTTCCATCGTGTTGTAATAGGGCATGTACATTGCGTAAAGCTTCTTGGAGATTAGGGACAGCATGAATGACGTTCGTAGCGATAATAAGGTCATAGCTGTGACGCTGAAACCCCTGGGTGATTGGGTCTTTTGCGATATCCAGAACCTTGAAATCAAGTGCAGGAAAGTCCTTGAATTTCTCTTTCGCGGTGCTGAAGAATCCAGCAGAAATGTCTGTGTATGTGTAGCTGGACCACAATTTTCCTCCATCTGAAGTATTCACCAAGGCTGAAAGGAACTCGCGAGTTGTTCCACCAGTTCCAGCCCCGATCTCTAGGATCTTCATATTCGGTTTCTGGTGCCCAAGGAGCTTGATATAAGGCGCTCGATCTGTTGACTTCGCGTCCTGGTAGATCTTGGTTAATGAATCATCAGCCATGAGAAGCTCCAATGGAGAGATTTCTTCTTTGATGAGCTTTACGATATTGTCGGTGATCTTTTCTATCGCATGCGCAATGGATGAAGATGGGCCATTTTTAACTTCTGATGTGACAGTTTCGAGCGAACGCAACGTATCGGGGATTGATTGTCGCTTCATCCAAGATACAAACTTTCTCAACGTATCTGACGCAGGCTCTATATCTTGGACTTGGCCTAGTGCTTTTTGAATATGAAGGAAGGTAAACTCTTGCAAAATTGATCCGTTTGTTGCTGCTTTCGTGTCATGCTTGACTAACGCTGACATGGTTGTGAGACTAGGCTCCAAGTCCCATGTTACCAAAGCCCCAGCATGAGCATCAGCTTCAGTTGTTGCATCTAGCGGAGTCAATTTGATTGTATCCAGTCTCATGACAAGAGACCCATCAGGACCAATAGCATGACCCCCGGCATGAATCTTCCCATGTGCTAGATACTGTGCAGAAGTATGGACTTGAAGGTCTCCTGAGCAGTCGTAGACCTCCATCTGCTTGATAAATGTAGGAATATTCATTCTCTTGATGGCATGTCCTTTCCCATTGCATGCGGCCAGGGCCGTTGTTTGAAAGAAGATGTCGATTGTTGTTGGATGGACCAAGTAATGTGATTCACAGTCGGTCGGGGTGTTATCACAAGCAATGGCCTTTGCAATCTGCTCCTTTGGTGTGCATCCGATATCCTTCAATCCTTGGAAGAAAGGACCATATCTGGCTCCAACATGCCACATGGCTTGATACCACTTGGCAGCATCTGTTTTCCGCGGAAATACATCGTTGGTGACTGATAGAGAAGGCGGTGAAGAAGTGATTGCCTCGACGGATCCCGAGCAGTGTTTGGTCCAGTCAATTCCTGAATACGATGAGATTGTAAAGTCCCACCCATTACTCTCCAGGTCGTTTGTAACGCGCCATCTTCTCATTGAGGTTATTACTTCGACTGGTTTGTTCTCTTCTAGGATCATTGCGGCACCAATGACCATATTCTTGACACAGAAACCAAGGAACTCGCTGCCTTGATCAGGTGTGTGCAATCTTCGACTGGCCTCTCCAGCCATAGTGACATATGCTGCGCATGGCAGCACTACATCGCCATGGATATTATGGTCTCGTAGCCAAGGTACATGTTCAAGTTGGAGTAAGTTTCTGAAGCTTGGTTGACTTTCCGTATTCTCCAAAATCAGTGATCCCAGAAGCTCGTGATGCGGGAATCTTGGATATCGCCAGGCCTGGGCGATGCGGTTGTGAAACATATGTACTCCGTCATGGTGCCAAGGATACAACGGCATGTCTGTAAGCACTTTTGCATCATTGTTCGGATTCGTTAAGCGATGTAGGTCGAGGTCTACTCCATGCTGCCACAGCCTACCCAGTGCTGTCAGGAATGTTCTTTCAGAATTTTCTTCCCGGTGAAGGCACGAAGCATATGGCCAGTTGAGTGAGTTTTGAATCAAAATCTGCTGGAGAGGTCCTGAGAGTGCCCTGTGAGGACCCAGTTCAAGAAGGCAAGAATCGCTGTTTGAAGCGTCTTTGGAGTGGGCGATAAGGCTACTAACAGCCTGCAAGAAAAGGACCGGCGATTCGAGGTTGCGACGAAAGTATCGGGCATCAACGCGCTCGGAAGCTGGTAACAAACCTCCGGTAACGCTTGAGTAAAAGTCTGACTTGAAAGACCCTTGAAACTTTGAAACTTCGTCTTCTAGAACGGATGCCATCATTCCTTCGTATTCGCCTCCAATATTGAGCATATGGTATGAATGGTACGCGGTATTCACCTTCAACCTACGCACGAAAGCGCCGGGATTGTGGGTTTGAATAGCATTCATTGCCTCTTGTACAGCCGCCTCATCACCAGAAATGGTGACGCTTGACGGCGAGTTATTGCATGCAAGTACAGCGCCATGTGGAAGGTATGCAGCGACCTCATCCCAGCTCAAGCCAATTGCAGCCATGGCACCACTTTGCAAGACAGTTTGCGATGCGATTCCGCGATAATAAGCGATTATTATGGCTGCTCGGCGGGATATTCTGCCAGCCGCATACGCTGCAGCTATCTCGCCGGATGAATGACCAAGGACAGAATGGGGTTTGATTGCAAGGTCAGCCAGAGCGTCTACGAGAGCAACCTGTATAGCAGTACACAGGGGCTGGGAAATTGCAGGTTCGTTAATTTGGCTGGAAGCAGCACATCTTTCCAACTCTTCCTGTATGCTCCAACAAGGCGGCGTTGGTAGCGTTCCAAGCTCACGGTCCATTGCTCCAATGGAAGACGCAAATGCAGCGTTGGACCATAGCATCTCAATACCCATACGCGGCCACTGCGCGCCTTGACCGGTGAATATCATAATCAATCTTGATTGGCACGCTCCTGTGAAAGATATACCAGGGTGTGAATCCACGGACATGCCTTGCACAACCGCAAAGGCGCGATGGGTGAGGTGCTGACGTCGGCAAGCCAATGTATAAGAGATGTCTCCGACACTCTCAATGTTGGTCAAGCCATATAAGTGCATGTCTCGTACATGTGTTTTCAGTGATTCTGGTGTGTTTGCTGTCATGAGAATCAACCTCCCCGACTCCACAGGTGCTTCTGAATCTGGGTCCATAGAGAGACCTGCTCGTTCCATATCGGCTATCTCCAAAGATCCATTGGAGATACCTATGGCATTTGAACAAGGTCCATTTCGCGTAGTATTGATGGACCGATTCTTTCGAGACAACGCGTACCCAGCAGCAGACTCCAGGATAACATGAGCATTAGCACCGCCAATACCAAAGCTGTTGACCGAAATTCGCTCGCGTTTATCTTCGGGCCATACAATACAATCGACTGGAACCCTGAGATCCTTCTCGGAAAACGGGATCTTGGGATTGGGGGTTTCGAACTTGATGTTTGGTGGTATGACACGATGTTCCAAAGCCAGGACTGCTTTAATGATGGAAGTGATTCCTGAAGCCCCCTCGGAATGACCCACGTTGGGCTTAACTGACCCAATATACACACCACTGTTCCCAAACACATTCCCAACTGCTAAAGTCTCAATAGGGTCGCCAGTGGGAGTGGAAGTTCCATGACACTCCACGAACGCGGTTTGGGTGACTTCAGACTCTAGGATCCCGGCAGCCTGGTATGCCTTGCGAATCATCTGCTCTTGACTCGAAGAACTCGGAAGACTTAACCCGGCAGTCTTTCCATCGGCATTGGTAGCAGAGCCACGGATGATGGCCCGGATAGGATTTCCATCCTTGATGGCAGCACTCAGCGGCTTGATGTAAATCATGTTGACAGCTTCCCCGCGAGCGTAACCGTCTGCAGCTGCATCAAATGTTCGACAGGACGAGTTGGGGGAGAGAACGCCCTGTTCTGCCATGTCGGATATCATGTCAGGACTCCAGAGCAGATTACACCCACCAACCAGAGCTGCGCTGCAGTCTCCACTTCGAACGGCAACGCATGCTTCGTGCAATCCGATAAGGGATGCTGAGCATCCTGTTCGTATGGTCATACTCGGGCCCTTGAGATCATACTCATAAGATATTCGGTTTGCAAACATAAAGTCCCCGTAACCGGTGACCTTATACGGGCTCTTTGTCAAAGGATCTTTCATGGCCATCTCCGCCCAATCGTCTCCAAATGATCCAATATATGTACCAAAGTTTTTTCCATGCCAATCGGTTTCTCCGGCACTTTCGAAGCACTCCCGCGCAAGTTGAAGAAGGATCTTCTGTTGGGGGTCCATGCGTTGAGCTTCTTGTTGGGACATACGAAACAAAGAATTGTCGATAGCACCCACTTCAGCACTTTCATCCAGGAAGTAGCCATATTGCGAATTGATATAGCCAGACTTTCCTGAAATTGAATGGAAAGCCTCAGCATCGAAGCGTTCGAAAGGGATGCGTGCACGAGCATCCTTCTTTTGGGTGAGGAACGTCCAGAACTGGGCAGGTGTTTTGAGCCCGCCTGGTAAGCGAAGAGCCATGCCGCAAACGGCAATCGGGTCAAGTTGTTTGTTCATGTTGGTTCGTTGGGAGATGACCAAATCTTGCAGTAGGTTATGATGTGAAATGCACACTGCAAGAATCTCTGATCGGGAAACCAAAGCAAAATTTATAGATCAAAAGATACAATGAATGTCATTGAAGATATCGGACCAGCAACTGCCGGTCGTGATAATTCTTGCGCTTCTGCAGTTATCCGAGCTTTGCTTTTTCCAATGTCAAAGCCTCACCGATGTACGGTTACTGACTTGCAGTGGAGCTGAAGAAAAAAGCAAAAAGTGGCGCATGCAGTTCATTTATTTCCAGCCGAGGTTCTGTAAGTCCACAACACTATCTGATTTGTTATCTATAGTGCAGTTTCTAGGGTACGACGGAGTGTGAGGGGGAAGGGCGAGGGAGGCGAGGGTATAATCATCTACACTAGATATCATTGGTAGATATTGTAACTAGGCTAGGAAAGAATGTATATTTCCTAGGTACATCAATACCCAAACAAGACACGACATCATCAGGGCTTTGAAGTGAGATGGCGAATAATGATAGCACGTGTCAAGGGCATGTTTGGTATAGAAAGCAGACACATCCAGCATTGATAATCTACCCAATAGCCCTTCACGTTGGTCAATCTTGACAAAATGCGGTATGTGGTGCGAGAGATAAGAGCCTACTAGTATCAACAGTGATATGGGTGCTCATGTGCTCTCTGGCAATCTTTACCGACCGATTAGAGCCTGACACTTGCACCTGGAGTAAGCAGCCATGAGTGAAATAGAGTCTTACCAATCTTCCATTTTGATTGTTGCGCATAAGGATGGGTGTACTGGTCAAGCACTCTATTTGACTTATCAATTTTAGTGTGACGCAATCGATGGATCTCACTCTGAGTGGACTACTATCGAACATATCCTACCTTGCTAACTTGCATATGCCTGTAGGCTACTCCCAAACGATACTCACTATGTCTGGTATCAAAGCTCTCGGCTTACTTTCGATAAGGTACTTTTCACATCTTTTGACGGGCCGCGGAGTGGCGTTGAGAACGGGAGGCCGTTCCCCACACCGATCTTGATTGCTTTGCGCCCAATGTCTAGCTTCATGCATGATCATGATCATGAGATATTCCCTGAATTTCTCGCCTTGTGAAATGGGGCTTTGACGCATTCAGTGCCTGGAATTCCGTATTGACTCGCAAGAAATAGATAACGAAGCAACTTGTGTATGACAACTCCATGCATATACTGAACGAAGCGAGAAATAGTGAACATGAAGCCTCATTGTAATTACCGTAAGTCTATGGCCTATTTTGGCGGCTGAAAGGAGATTGCAAAGATCTGCAGAATTGAGAGACAGTACATCTATTTGTAAGTGTTTTGAATGCATAACATTCTTATGCTTTAGTACCGTTGAGAAATTGCTTCCTCGTAGCTCTGGTCTTGCCGTTGAATCTGCTACTACTTTTCCGGTTTGAGTTACTTGACGTTGAAAATTTCGCGCTGTCAAACATCCTTGCAGTGTTGGATCGCATGTGAAAGGAAGTGTAGGAAGTACAATCGAGTCACCACCACACCGAAAAAAGCACGCGCCAGCCTTGTGAGGATTGCCTTACAAATTGCTTGCTTTTTTGATGGGGTCTCCGGGTTATCAGCGAATACGAGGAGATCGACGGCGCACGCGATCTGTATTTTTGCTTTTTGAATTGCTTCCATGCGCGGCGCGTCCCGTAGTATGTTGATCTCACTTCTTAGCGGTACGTACGCTCAGGCCATCCAGCGACTATTCCTTTCCGAGCGAACACGATTTGTTGCTGCCAAGTGATAAAGATACCATCTATCAGCATCTTCAAGGTACGATAGGTTGTCATTCACATATTTCAAACTATTGTTGCCACTAAATTTACGCGTACGTAGATAACGTTCATCAAACGCCGCATTTTCTACCATCCGTTGACATAAGTATGACGAACATCTCATTAGTAGGAGACGTTCCTCGACCATCTCCTGGAATCGCTTCTGAACAAAGCGAAATTCTATCCAAACGATATTTGAAAGCTGCTTTTGGTAGTCTATGTATCATCGTACTGATGGTAGCTCTCGATGCCACCTCACTTGCAGTAGCACTACCGGTAAGTCACATGATCAGAATACTGCGCGGTTTACTTCAGTTTTCAAGAGCCATATCTGACGGAAATAAAGGTGATCACGAAAGCACTAGAAGGCTCTGCTGTCGAGGCATTCTGGAGCGGCACATCATTTCTTCTCGCGTCGACAATCTTTCAACCAATTCTTGGGTCGCTTTCTGACGTGTTCGGGAGGAAATTGTTGATTGATCTTAGTCTCCTGCTGTTCTTGATAGGTTCAGTCGTCATTGCAACCTCTAGTTACTTTACAACAGTACTGATAGGCCGCACGGTCCAAGGTGCAGGTGGGGGCGGTATCATATGTGTAACGGCATTGATCGTCGTCGACAAGATACCTCTTCAAGAGCGTGGAAACTGGCTTAGTTTGCTTGGTGCCGTGTTCTCGGTCGGTAATGTCTCTGGCCCTTTGCTTGGTAGGTTATGTTTATCCTGATTAGTGCGCTGCTCACAAACGAACCCCTAGGTGGCGCGCTGGCAAAGGAAACTTTATGGCGCTGGATTTTCTGGATTAACCTCCCTTTGATTGGTATTGGTGGGATATCAATCGCGATCTTCCTAAAAGTTCACAAAAGACCTGGCTCGTTTGTGAAAAAACTAAACGAGCTAGATTGGGTTGGGATGGGCCTCTTTCTTACCTCCACAACGGGTTTCCTTATCCCGATCAGCCGCGGTGGCATCGAATACCCGTGGAGTTCATGGCATACACTTATACCCTTGCTTCTATGTACTGCTGGGCTTGTAGCTTTAGCTATACATCAGGAATACGTGGCGAAGAGACCCTTTATTCATACCGACGTTTTCAAAAACCGATCTGCGGCGATCATCCTCCTGCTGACGGTACTGTATGGTCTTATTCTCTCAGCAGTTCTCTTCTATCTGCCTTTGTATTTCGAGGCGGTGAAGAACATGTCCCCTATCATGGCTGGAGTAGCCATCTTTCCATGGACCTTGACTCTTGCTCCATCCGCTATGGTACGTCCGTACACCACATGAATATTGGCGCATTTTAATAACCGCCACACAGGTTACTGGTATAGTCATATCAAAAACTAGAAGGTACAGATGGGCAAACTGGCTGGGTTGGTGCTTCTCAGTGGTTGGCATGAGCCTTCTCGTCTTACTTAAGGAAGATACTCCAACTATAGTATGGATTGTTGTAAGTCTTGTCGGCGGTGCTGGAATGGGTACCTTGTATCCAGCAATGATGCTTGGTGCTCAGGCATCTTCATCTGTGGAAAATCAGGCTTACGCAACCAACATTTTCACATTCCTGAGAGCTCTTGGCCAGACTTTTGGAGTCACGATTGGCGGAATCGTCTTCCAAAGCATGTTAGAAAGGAAAATGTTGTCAAACCCGCTTCTATCCGAAAGAGCTAGGGAGTATTCCAAGGATGCAGTTGGCTTGGTACAGATTATTAAAGCGATGCCGGATATTGAGCTGAAGGTGCAGTTAAAAGAGAGTTTCGTTTACGCCCTAACGTATATCTGGGTTGTGGTGGCAGTTCTATCAGGGGTCGCGCTTATTGCGAGCCTTTTCATCAAAGGCTACGATATAAATAGTCCATCTGAGCTGCATCAGAGCACTGAAGGCAACTAGAGCTAGAGAATGTGGTAGAAGATGTCGTTGGAAGAAAGCAGAGTATTCTGTCATCACTACAGTCGTAATTTCTGGCCTATACGCATATGACTGCATGATTTTACTAACCCGTCGTGACTCAGATCACCTTGCCCCTCTGGTATCCTAGCTGTTACACACTCGAGTGCCCCTATAATACTAAAGCCTACTCGTCCTACTGCACTAGGGGGCACCCTCTCGGGGAACCGCTAAAACCGGATAAAAGCTGCCAAGCGGCTATCCCCACCAAAACACAACACCTCCACCACGAAATATCAGCACCACCATGACGGTATTTTATATATGAAACTAGTGGAATTGAATGCGCTGACTTCATTTTAGCTATGCCTAAAAGGATCAGACTTACGACGCCGCCGTTAGAGTTGCAGCCACCTACGGAGCAACCGGCACCTGGGACGCGTCCACAGCTCGAAACACCGAAACGGTCAGCCATCTTTGCAGTGTTATACTACTGCGAGCAGCAGTCATTGCCATGCAATTTACAGTCAATATCTACTGTGTTTGAGATACTGCATTCTACAGTCCACGATGTATACTCATCGCGACGATGCCGACGCCTCCAGAACTCCAATGAAGTCGACAGTCGTCTACCACTCCGTGAGATCTCAAGAAGCGACACCAACGCAATCGCCACCTTTCTTGATAGAGCTACACTTGAACAAAAAAGTCTTCCTTGGCAAGATATTGCCGAAGAGGCAGGTGTTGTAAAGCACTATCACCATGAGAAAGGCCAAGAAAATGAGCAGTGGGCAGCTAAAGTTCTGCAACGGCGAGTTACTGCTGATGAAGGAATTAAAACACACAAGGCTGTTGTGAAGGAGCAGCATACTCCTACACAGGTAGACAAGCGTCTAAAGTACTGCCGTATACAATTACAGCAGCGTCCGTCTGCCCACAACTGGCGCAACGTGCTTTGGTGTGATGAGATTCACTGGAAGACTGGCCCACGATATCCAAAAAACATCAAACGCCGCCCTGGTCAGAAGTACAAACACCACCCAAGTAATATACAGTATCAGCATAATCACAAAGGAGATTATCTTGTCCCAAAACACTTTCATATTTATGCTGTTGTCGGGTTCAACTTTAGGTTTGCAATACCATACAACGCGGGCAACACTAATGGCAATATGAATACAAAAACGTACATAAACGTCATACTGCCAGCCCTCCGGTCGTACATACTTGAACGGGGCGGCGACTATATCCTTTGGCAAGACCGCGACTCTGCTCATATATCTGCTCAAACTCTCCGATATATGAACACCCATGGGTTTGAGTATATACTTAGCCCACCAAAATCACCAGATATGAGTATAATGGAGACCTGGGTATCATCCATACGTCGCAAATTTTACTACCGGAGCTGTGCGACTCAGGTAGAAGGTGTGCGGCGTTTCTATGAGGTGTTTGAGAGACTTGATCGTGAGAAAATCAACACCACAATTAACAACTACCCACTACAACTCCAAAATATCCAGAATATCTATCAAGGTAGAGCTTCACAATATTAAGCTAAAATTTGAGACCTCTAATTATGCCCAAAGGTTGTGATTTTGCTGTTGTTTTGGGTGACTTTGCACCGTGGGTGGGTGGGGCAGCTTTTATCCGGTTTTAGCGGTTCCCCGAGAGGCACCCTAGGTGCGCACGGACTCCTCGCTCCGCTCGTCGTCCTGCGCAGCTCAACGCAAATCCTCAGCTCAACGCAAAATTTCACCTTGTTATACATTTGACGCGTAGAATCCAATCAAAATAATGCTAAAGCGATATGGTGACTATAAGGCTGTTGAAGGGCGTATCCAAGAGGCCCTCAAAGCGCTAGAGTCCTCTCCTAAGACCTCTTTAGCAGTTTTGGCGCGTCAATTTGATGTGCCGTACTACCGTCTATACCGACGCGCTCGAGGCGCACAATCTAAATCTAGTAGGCCAGCACCTAATATACGCCTTAACGCGGCTCAGGATCTAGCCCTGAAGGCCTATATCGATCGCTGCGATCAGCTAGGCATGCCTGCCCTCGTTCCTCAGCTTGTCGGCGCAGCGCAACGCATCCTCGATCTCGAACACCCTAGCGGACAGGCGCCTGCGCTGGGCAAGGACTGGGTAGCGCGCTGGCTCAAGGCTAATCCTGACTGCCGGAGAAAGAAACAAAGACAGCAGGAGCTTAATCGTATCGCGTTAAATACTGTCGAGGCGTATACAGCTCACTTTGACGCTCTAAGAAAGGTCCTCGACAAGTACGTAATACAGCCATAGGATCTATATAATATAGACGAAACTGGCTTTCGTATTGGTGTTGGAGGGAATAACTGGGTCGTCACTCGTCGTATAGACGTTATACAGCCGCCTAGCGATACGAATAGGGACTATATCACTGCTATAGAAACGATATCTGCTGACGGATACGTCCTCCCGCCCTTCCTCGTACTTAAGGCGAAAATACAGCTCGAGAAGTGGTATACTAATACGTCAATACCTAGCTCGTATACTATAGAACTATCAGAGACAGGCTACAACAATGATGAGCTCTCACTTAAGTGGCTTAAGCACTTCGATAAATGGACTAGGCGTCGTCAGACTGGCCTATGGCGTCTACTGCTATTTGACGGCTTTGGATCTCATAGTACGAAAGAGTTCCTCGATTACTGCGACGAGAATTAGATTATAGCTTATACGCTGCCTCCTCATACATCTTATAACCTACAGCCTCTTGACGTTGCTGTATTTTAATTGTATAAGAAGGCACATAGGATAGCTATAGAGCACGCGACGCGGGAAGGCTGTACTAACTTTACTAAGCTAGAGTTTCTTAACGTACTATATAGTATACGTAAAAAGGCCTTCACACGCTCAACTATATAGTTAGCCTGGCTATAAGCAGGCATTGAGCCTTGGGATCCATGGAGGGCGCTGATAAAGGTGTACCCGCGCGATGAGCCTCGTACGCCACCGTACGCTGATCCTGATAGCTCTCCTTTGACAGCTACGCCTACAACACCTCGCTCATTAATCAAGTTTGCTAACAAGACAGAGAGTCTACTCTATAAGGAGGAATCCTGCGATCTAGATCGCGTTGAGAGGCTAGCAAAGGCTGCTGTAGTTAACGCGCATCTTCTAGCGTCAGCTACAGAGGAACTACATAACTTGATAGCAGCAGCGCGCGAGCGTAGGAATAGACAAAGTAGCTCGCGTAAGCAAATAATAAAGGGAGGAGTATTGATAGCGGGAGGGGCTCGATCTGCTATTAATCGACGAGCTCAGCAGGACGCTGAGAAGGCTATACGGCAGGCTGCGCGATAGGCAAAGACTACGACAAAGACGATGACAGCACAATAATAAGAACCTCCTGCGACGCCTGCTTCTATAGGAGGCGATTTCATTAACTATAGCTACGATACGTATCGTTTATAGCCTTGAATTGTATAACATTTGCTGTCAAAATCTACAAAATATAGGCCTCTCAGGTGAAATTTTGCGTTGAGCTGAGGATTTGCGTTGAGCTGCGCAGGACGACGAGCGGAGCGAGGAGTCCGTGCGCACCTAGGGTGCCCCTAGTGCAGTAGGACGAGTAACCCCAAGTTAACCCCATCCCCAGAATTAGGGTTTTGGGTACACCGGAGCAACGTCAGACGACTAGGTTTGTGTCAGCAGAATAACCAAAACAAATAGAAATATAGATAGCAATCCATTCACTACTATATAGCAGTAATAGCACAGTTTATATTAAAAATAACTAGCATTACTTATACTGTGATAACTTACTACCATGGATCCATTTCGAGAGGATTTTTATGTATTTGCCCACACATTGCATCGCGATATGCAAGAGCCATAAGCAGGGCGTTGTGAAGTCACAGCTGCTCACCCACTTGGACGCCAAACACCAGGAGCTGGCTCCCCACACACGGCGCAGCATGATACAAGCCACTAGCCAGGAGCCATCACTACGGAACTGGGCCGACAATGTAGACCAGGTCATGTTTCCACGCCCAGATGCTGCGCCGCTGCCCCATCTGCCCGTGTACGCAAATGGCTTAAAATGCTGGGAGTGTGGATATATCTGCCGGCACGTAAACAAGATGCAGGAGCATGGCCGGAACCACCATAGCTGGACTGGCAGCCGCACACGCAGCGTCGGCCGTCTAGCAGCCATGCAGCAGAGGTGGACAGGCAGCGTGGTATGCCAGAAGTTCCAGAACACCGGCATGCTGGGCCGGTTGTTTGAAGTCCAGGGCGCTGCACCCGCTGAACCATGCCATATGGATTGCTGCGGTTTTGTGCTATCGCGACTTTGGGCCCTGCCTAGGGCCTAAAGTCGCGCTATACTTGGGCTACCTGGTCTCCCCGCACCGCTGATTGGCTGCTCTCTTCCGCCTCTCTGCTACGCGACGCGACGCGACGCGATAGAATATACTTATACCATAAGCAATCTATCACTATTACTAACTATTAATAGTTATCTATATCTATTTCTATCGCTAGCTATGCTTACTTATCTACCTACCTACCGCGTTCTTATCTGCCGCGAGCATCACTATGCGATCCATAGCGTAGACGAGCATCTAAAACGCTACCATAAGCTACCTATAGTCGAGAGAAGAGCTCTACTTAGCACGTACGACAGCCTCGCTCTTCTATCGCCTGACTAAGTGCCTCTTTCTGCCCCCTATGGACCACCACTAGCAGAACTCAGCGCGCCAGAAAATACGCTTATCTGCTGCTGCAATACAGCGTGTAGCTTTCTTACTACAAGCCGTAGCTGTATGAAGAAACACATTAACCAGCAGCATAGTATTTATCTTACCCGCTGGTCTACTCCCTTAGCTATCTTATATGCTGAGCACGCTGCTTAGCTATGGAGGCCCGTTAAGGCGCAGACCTTCTTCCGTGAGAGGCGATATGTCCGCTACTTTGTCGTACAGGAGCAGCAGGAGCCGCAGGCGCAGGCACAGGCGCAGAACAGGAGCCAGCCAAGAATAGTAGAGCAGACAGAAGCAGAGCGTCACCAGCAACGCCTAGCTAGTCTATCGTATAAGTGGGATATTGTTGCGTCTAGAGACAGCCAGGCGATCGAGCGTGTAGCAGAAGAAGCCTCAGCTAGAGACTATACTGGCTGGTTCAAGCGAACGCGATGAGACGAGCACTTATAGGCCTACCCTAACTGGTAGCTGCTATCGTACGCAATACGGCTACCAGGTAGCGACGAGCCGCGTCTACAGCGTGTCGTTAGCCTAGTAGAGGAGCTTTTAGACCAGGCTATTAGTGGCCTAAGTACGCTAGCAATCGATACGCTGCGCTGGCTACGCAGCCCACGGCCACAAAAAAGCGATCTACGGCCGTTTGGCCGGATGCAGAACAGAGCCAGCCAGGTGCGCGCAGCGCGGCTCTGGGCAAGACTTCTCTGCTACTGCCTGCGCATGGTAGCTATTGAGCAGCAAGAGCTAGGCCAGCAAGAATACAGCCGTAGCGGCCGTCGCTAGCAGCCGCAGCAGCAGCGCTAGGAGCCTTTGCTCCCAACTGAGCTGTCTGACATCGCAAAGCTGTTCCCATGGTATGGCACCCAGAAGGAAGTAGCTACGCAGCTATGGCTATCTCTCTCGTCTACTAGCAACGATAGTAGTGGCTCTAGAGCAGCTCAGCAGCGTACGTATATACGACTTCTATCTCAAGCGCTCATCTGCCAGAAGGTATATCACCAGCCATTTGATAGCCCAGTTATCCATTTTCTCGCTACTCTTGGTATCTATCCAGAGACTAGCCGTCTGCGTGATGCTCCCGAGTTCTCTACTCTACTTAGCTCACTCATTTACTGCGTACGGGCATTAACGATAGAGATTTTTCTACCAGTAGATAAGCGGGCTGAGCAAGGTGCTGCTGAGACAGGTAGCTTTCTTGAGCAGCGTGCTAGCTATCTAGTAGACGGCTCGTATAGCCCTATGAGCACTATGCTAAGCCTACTAGTATACGCCAAGTTTATCGCTCTACGTACGCCTAGTAGTAGCGCTAGTAGAATGTGGTGGTTAGTAGATCGACAGACATTCTACATCAAAGGCCAGTCTATCGTCCTACAGAAATTCCGTGAGCTTGCGCAGGGCGTGGTCGCCAAGGCAGAACGCGTGCTATGGGACGAACTGCTGTGGATGAGCGAGCACGAGCATCGGCCGACGACTAGGCTAGCGGAGATACAAGACGACGTGTCTGTCCGACAGCGTGGCGCGTGCTACCTGTCACCATCGTAGCTACGCCGAGGGCAAGCGTGGGTGCTGGATCGACTAGCTAGGGTAGCTGGGGCGCAGAAGCTCTATCGACAGCGCATGCGACTGCAGACAGAGCTGCTAGAGCAGCTATCAACAAGCAGTAATTCAAGTAGCTCTAGCAGCCATCTACTAAGCGAGAGCCTAGAGTGGAGACCTCAAGCCGTCCAGCAGTATCTCAAACAGACTAATCGCTTTCTAGAGCTGCTCTGTCTAGCTATCTATATTACTGGCGGCCAGCCAGCTCGTGGGCCAGAGCTACTCTCCGTCCACTGGCGTAATGGGACACTACAAGACTGCAATCTCTACGTTATAGACGGCCAAGTCGCAGTAGTTACTCGCTATCATAAGCTACAGTCACAGTGGGATAGACCTAGAGTAGTCCCGCGATTTCTACCTGAGGTAGTAGGCCAGTTAGTTACTGCCTATCTGCTGTATCTGCGGCCTGTCCGCGCGATGCTCCTTAGCAGCCAGAGCAAGGCAGCTACTGCATCGGCGAGCGATTATCTATGGGCGAACGACAGTGGGCCGTGGGATATAGATCGGCTTACGCGTACGATGACAGCAGAAACAGCAAAATGGCTAGAATCACGGCTGACAGTAGCTGAGTACCGTCACGTAGCTGTTGCGATTGGACGAGAGATTGTTGGAGAGCGCTTTGCTGTAGAATATGACAAGCAGCTAGAGAGGCGATTTAAAGCTACTACTACTACTACTAGTACTACTAATAAGCCTAGCTTAGGCGAGGAGTATGATGGCGAAGATCCAGTAGAGCTGCAGAATGGGCGATCTATAGCAGTAGGCATGGTAGCGTACGCCGTACAGGCGGACATTATTGACGGGCTAAGTGCGCGATCGATTGACGTGTTTCGAACGCTCAGTCTAGCGTGGCATAGGTTTCTTGGTCTTTCGTCTAAGGCAGCAGAGGCGGTAGAGGCGGCAGAGGCAGCAGTGGAAGCAGTAGAAGTAGTGGAAGCAGTGGAAGTAGTGGAAGCAGTGGAAGTAGTGGAAGCAGTGGAAGCAGTAGAGACAGCAGGGGTAGTAGAAACCATAGAGGCAGTAGTAGCCGCAGCCGCCGCATCCGCAGCAAAGGCAGCAAAGGCAGCCGAGGCAGCAGCCGCAGCCGCAGCCGCAGCCACCACAGCCGCAGTAGAAGCAGCTGAGGTAGCAAAGGCGGCAGTAGCTGTAATACAACAGGAGAGAAAGCGGAAGCAGACACTAAGCTCGGTAAGCTGCTTAACACAGCTACAGCCGCAGTATCAGACTGAGGCGGAGACTAGGCAGCAGGTAGTAGGAAAAAGAATTCGGTTAGGATAGTAGAGAGTAGAGATAGTAGTAATAGAGTGGTAGTTAATTAACTATAGTCGTAGCAGCAGTCGGAGCAGCAGTTATTGTAACGGCGCAGGCAAGACTACTCGGATCAGTATCGGCAGTAGTGTCACTCAGAGGCATATGGGAGTGCGTGGGACATCAAACGAGCCTTGATTCGAATAGACACCTATAGGCCTTGTACGAAAGGATA